ACAGAAGTTTGAGAATCACTGCTCTACAAGATATATTCTAGATCAATCCCAAGTTACTGGTCTGAATGCACTGGGTGAAATTTTATGGCTTGTGTTATGCAGGAGTTCAGACTCCATGATCACAATCAATCAAAAGTCCCCTTTCACTTTAAAATCTATCAGAGTACTCCTGTACGGATGTTACCTGTTGAAAGTGATTGTTGACTGAGGTAGGTTTTCATGTAACCATTGTATATATCAGTCCTGCTGGAAGGCGAGAGAGATTCATAGGCGATGTTAAACCCTTTCACTCTGAGGAGACAAAAGAGGAGAGGCTGAGAAAGGAATCTGGCTGGTTTAGCTTTAAAGGCAGGTGTCTCCTCATTGCATCATCCTGGTAGGTATCGTCGGAGGCTGTTGTCTCTCTTTAATTTGACTTTAGATTCTGAAGAAAAAATAAAGAGTAGGATGACAAAGCATGCTGTTTCTAATGGTAGGTGCTACAGGAAAAATGTCATACACTATTCTCCACTCTTCCTGGAAGCGTTCCGAATCTGCGGTACTGTTGCAAAATCAAAAAAGAAAACAGTTCCACATGTTGATTCTGTCTAATAAGTCACGCTTGGTTTTGCCTACTACAGCGAGAGTAAGACATTGAACGCTGTCTCAGAAAAGCAAAACCTCCTTCTTAGCGCTCTCAGCAGGAATACTAGCTTTGACTTGCAATTCCTGCAGCCTGGATAGTAATACTCACACTGCCTGGTAGGAGTCACAGGAGAAGTTAGTACCCAGCCATGCCAGATAGGTTTCATTTATACCAGGGAGCAATAAGGGCAATTGCTTCTGGAACCAGTCTGCCCAGATTTCTGTCAGGAAAAGGTGGAACTTGGATCTCAGCTTTATAAACACAGTCCTTAGTATTGAATCTCTAACCGAAGCATTGGGCAAGGAAGTCAGGTTTGCCTGCAATATGGAAAAAGCAGATGTGTATCAAGATCGTGTAGCCGTTGAAGTTGGAAGAGATCGTTAAAGAATCACCTATTTCGTACCCCTGCACTGTGTTGGATTGACTTAATTATTCCTAAAGCAGCTATGCTAGTCGGTCACCTATCCTCACCCCCGAGTAACTCCAATGCCTGGGAATTTGCTGCCTCCCTTGTTTCAGAGTAGCAGCCGTGTTAGTCTGTATCCGCAAAAAGAAGAACAGGAGTACTTGTGGCACCTTAGAGACTAACAAATTTATTAGAGCATAAGCTTTCGTGGATTACAGCCCACTTCTTCGGATGCCTCACTTGGTAGCTTTCAACCCAGTGCCTTGAACCATTCAAGTTTTCCTGAAGTTTAACCATTCCCAGCTATTCCCAGCCCTAGGGCTATATTGTATGTAGAGGGTGTCACTGTGTGTAGAGAGCAAAGGGGATGGCAAGTAGTATGCTTAAGACAGTTCTAACAAGACATAGGACCAAACGCATCCACAATAATAGAATTAACATGACATAGAAGTCTGAAGACGTGATGGATTCTTTAGCGCCTTACCTGGTGCGCGTACACATTAAACTCCCTCATGTATCTATAGACCGTGTAATACGAACTCTGGTCCAGAACGGCCAGGATTAGCAGTGTGTCCTCCAGGCTGTTCAGCGTCAGATTCACAGTTAATTGCGCCATCTGTTCCGGGGTCAGTACATCGAGCGCTTTAAGCTAAGAACAAGCACAGGTGCACCGTAAGAGTGAGCGTTCATGCTGGTGGGTGGGATGTCCCAGAAGGGAGGACCCCCCCCCCCATTAGTGCAGGACGAGCAAGAAGCATGGCCTGTCAATCACACAGCGCCTGGGGATCTGCAGGAAAAGCAGGTGGGCCAGTCCCCATGGAATTCAAAACAACTGGGTGCACTTGCTACCCCTATAGCTTTTGGTTCCTTCATTCCATCAATGTAAGTTTATGTCTGAAACAATGACAACTTTCCAAACTGTCTCCGGAAGGTGACACTTCCCTGCAGGGTCACCACTTCGCAAGGCAAGCTCTGTGGGCCAGATCTTCAGCTCATGTAAATTGACAAAGCTCCGGTGAAGTCAAAGTCAACCCAGCTGGGGAACTGGCCTGTAAGGGCAACATGGAGTCCCCTACCTAGAAGGTCTCTGCAAAGTCTTCCAAGAGCCATGCCTGCTCTTATTCCAGGACTGGGACTCCTGGGGAAGAAAATGAGTATTTTGGGCAAACATTAGTTTGGGGATCAGGCTTTAAAGCAGATTCCTCCATAAGATTGTAAAGGGACATTGTGGTCTGTGTAGGTTGGTGACAGTTGTCCTAACATCAGTGAGTCGAGGTAAACAAAGCATTGGTGGGCACTGATCACCAGTCTGACCTTTCTGTCTTAGGCTAGGTCTACACTACCCACCTGAATCGGCGGGTAGAAATCGATCTCTCGGAGATCAAATTATCACGTCTCGTCGGGACGCGACAATCGATCCCCGAATCGACGCTCTTACTCCACCAGCGGAGGTGGGAGTAAGCGTCGTCGACGGGGAGCCGCGGAGGTCGATTTTGCCGCCGTCCTCACAGCGGGGTAAGTCGGTTCCGATAGGTCGAATTCAACTACGCTATTCGCGTAGCTGAATTTGCGTATCTTAAATCGACCCCCCCCCCCTGTAGTGAAGACCTGCCCTTAGAGATAGGGACAGTCTGGCCTTGACAGCCAAACAGATGTGGTGTAGGGCAGAGGATTCAGAATCCCTCATTTCCCTGGTCTGAAGGGTGGAAGAGAAGAGTGAATAGTCTGATCCTAAGGTTTGATGGGAGGACGATGGATATAAAATCCCGGGAGTTTCTTTTCAAGAGACTTTGAGGGGAGAATCTCAAAAGCTGCGTTTATGTCTAGCTGTAGATGGGTTATTACACATCAGCAGAACTTCCTTTTTTCCTAATGGATTTAGTTAGGTTTTTTTTCCTATTCTCTGTTTCTGGAGGTCTGAAGGAGAGTCGGTTCTAAAGTAATATCCTTAGGAGCTGGTAATTGTCATAACGTTAGAGCTTCGTCATCATTTCCCCCAAAGAAACCGCGGTATCAATATCACTCAGTGACATTTTGGCACCAGCAAAGGCATGTCCTTCCTCATCAGCAATCCAGACCTGCACTGCCCCCTAAGTCTAAGTCTGTAGCATCCATTTGCTCTACCCTCCCTACTTCTCCACCTTGTCATTCATCATATCGCCTCTCCCCTTCCAGCTCCCTCTGGTCTGCCCTGACTCCTCACCTGTCTGGTGCTTGTTCCACACTGCCATCTTAAGCACGGATGCTCTCAAAGAAATATTCCATAAGGACACCACCCTCTCCTTCAAGATCTACTTGCATGACACTGACAAGAAATTTGCTAACTAATTATAGCTAGGCTGAGGGGCCTTTAGATATAGGTGATGTGTAATTATTTGCTAAATCCAAAAGTACTCCAGTGTATATAGACATTGTATATATTCAGACTGTGTCCCTTTCTCCCCAACCATCGTATGGACCTTGGTTTCTTTGATTGTAAGTTCCCAGGGCAGAGACTATCTGCTTGTGTGTGTGTGTGTGTGTGTGTGTACAATCCTTAGCGTATTGTGAGTTGTACAGGAATATAAATAGAAAGCACAGCGAATGGACACTGAAGATCTGTGTCTGGTGCAGGAAGCAACTTCTCCTCTAACAAGTTAAAGGCTTGATGGTGTTCCTAGTCCCAGTCATCTTATTGTTTCATTGGTTCCCCGTGTTAGAACAATTAAAGTGCAGTTCTGTTCTGAAGGGTGCCTCTTTAAAAATGGCAGTGGAGTCACATTATCATGTCTCCTTTATTCCCAAACATAACGTGCTTGGTTCCCAGGGAAAAAAATATGTCTTTTTCTAACTGCTGACCTGGCAAACTCAGCCTGGGATCTGAGAGTCAAGCTGGGTTGTTTTCTTTTCATGTATCATCACTAATAAGTAAGATAAAGACTTGAGGCAAGAAGTTCAGCTGAATCTGGCCTTTCCCAATGTCTGATGGGTTTCTGATCTGAGGTTCTAATACAGGCCCATCTCCAAGAGAAATAATTATACAAAAAATATGCAATGATTCTTAACCAGTGCAGCATGCAGAGACCTCACTTTGCCAGTTTCTTCAAGTTAATGTTCTTGGTACAAAAATGTTTTGACAGACGACTCTTTTTATGAATGGCTGTCATAAGAGTTACCGATGAAACCTTCCATTTCAGAGTTGTGCACGCTCAATGGCAGTGATAGCCCAACGTGTATGATCAGACTGAAATGCTCTAATGCTACTGCACTGGAAATGAAGACTGTGATGCATCATATCCATGTACATCAAAAAGAGAAAAGTTGCATCTTGTAATGCCTTAATAGCCTGCATATCAGTGGCGATATCCAACTGATACACTGGTGCAGCTCACGTGCTAGTCATGCTGCTTAATGCACTACTGGAAAGTGTTCTGACACTGTGGTGATCAGTGTCGTATAAGAACCTATCGAGACTAGAACAGAACAATGTTGTGAAGTTCTAACTGAACTTCCGTTAGAGAGGTAAACTGATGCAAAGCGGTGAAGGTCTAATATAGTTGGTACTTAACATTTGCTAAAAATATTAGAGCGCAAAGTTTTATTGGCTAATGCATCCTCCTTATATAAAGATATCGAAATGGAGCATGTATTCATGTGTTATTAATAAAATGGCATGCGATAATGTGGTGTAACTTCTTGATCTCTTTAAGAAACTGGCAAATTGTGATCAGTATTATGAGATAACAGAAATATTTACAGTTTAGTTCAACCAGTAGCAACCAGTTTGCCATTATGTTTTTGTACCACTACAAACCTGGTAGTTCAAAGTAATTTTAAATACTATCAATGCCGACGTGTATATTAAGAATGCTTTAAAACAATATGAAACATACTAAATCAGTTGTTTTAAAATTAATTTTTATTGATGAGTAGACAGATACAATCACACAGAATAAAATTGTTTAGAAACAAAATCAACATTTCCATGAATGTTAGCACTGGCTTACAGAGCATCGGTGAAATTCAAGGATAAACATAATTTCAGGTATATTACAATTATGCACAGTTTTGAAAAGAATCATATGAAGAGGTCACAAAAAATCCTCACTTTTCACATGATAATATGAGCAGAATTTATGGATTTAAAGTCATACTTCTAAAGTATTCCATTACTGTAATTTCTGTCTTTAGAACCAACTGCATGGTTACATTTAAGTATGTATATTCTCCCATCAAATATTATTTTGACAGGATGCAGTTATTGTTGGACTCATCTGTTACTATTGGTCATTTCATTTCTTAACACACATTTGCCCTAGTGATCATTTTGGCATTGTGCGGTCAGCATCTTAACAATCACTTTCCATGGAACAAATTAGGTGGTAAACGCTCATGTTAGAAAACCCATTGCTACTGATTAGACTAAACTTAGGACAAAAGTTGAAGACAATTATCTTACCAACTGGAGCAATGTGTGTGTGTTTGCTATTCCAGCACCCTGCTGCTAGTAGCTTTCAAAGGCAAGCTATAATTTGAAGAATGTGTGAGGCAAATAGGAATGGCAAAGTCCAGACATATTACAGCCTTGAAACCAGCTTGATTTAAAGGGGATCTCTAATACATAAAATAGGCCTTCCTGTCTCTATACAAAGAGCATACATCTGTGTTTCAGATATGTTGCAAGCGTGGCCATTGGGGTATCTGAAAATGTTCTGATAACTTAGGACGCTCACTCTTATCTTTGATCAGAGACAGGTTTTTGAGGAAAAAGGCAAGCAGCAAGGAAGATAATTTAACCTCTCATATTACCTCATATTAAGCTCTCATATATTTCTCCCACCTTGGCCCAAGCTGATCCCTGCTTTGGGAGACGTAGCTGTTTTAGAAAAGCCAAGAGAACCCGAGAAAAGGAGAGGGAAAAAAATCATCTTCCTTAAAAATCTGAATCCTTCTCATGTTCAACATTGTAAATGCGGGTCCCGTGAAGCTACTGTGATTGCTTGGAAGAGAGCGGAGGCTTTTACTATTGCTCAGCACATTGGCTAGAAAAACTTACTCCATCAATGTCTGGGTAAAAGGTTTGAAGTTCGCTTAATTGAGCCACAGAACAGAACTCTCCCATGTTCTTTTGCAGCCAGTCTCTGGTCCCGTGGGTTCCATCCTTGCATGCTGAGCCTGAAAAGTTTGGAATACAAAGGGTTAAACAACAGACCATATTATAGTAACTCCTCACTTAACGCTGTAGTTCTGTTCCTGAAAAATGCGACTTTAAGCAAAACGATATTAAGTGAATCCAATTTTCCCATAAGAATTAATGTAAATGAGGGGGTTAGGTTCCAGGGAATTTTTTTTCACCACACAAAAGACTATATTATACACACACACACACAGTATAAGTTTTAAACAAAGAATTGAATACTGGTCCACAGGGATGATGATTGTGAAGCTTGGTTGAGGTGGAGGAGTCAGAGGGTGGGATATTTCCCAGGGAATGCCTTACTGCTAAATGATGAACTAGCACTCGGCTGAGCCCTCAAGGGTTAACTCTCACAGTCTACAAGGCAGCAGGAATGGAGGGAGGGGAGAGAGCATCGCAGACAGAGATAGAGACACACACTCTGTGTGTGAGCGAGAGAGATGCGCATTTCCCCTTTAAGTACGCTGCCTTATTAATTAGATCAGCTTGCTGAGACTGCAGCTGCTGCTGCCAGCAAGCTCCCTCCATCCTGAGCCCTGTCGTGTCCCCCCCGCTCTATGGAAGATGGGGTAAGTGGGCTGTAGAAGCAGGGGGGAGGGGGACACCCTGACATTAGCCCTCCTCTTCCTCCCCTCCCCCCCACACATCAAGCAGGAGTCTTGGGGAGCAGCTCCAAGGCAGAGGGTAGGAGCAGCACATGGCAGTGCGGGGAGGGACAGCTGCAATTGCTAGCCTGCTGGGCAGCTGCTGCACAGGGAACTTAGGGGAGCGGGGAGCTGATGGGGGAGATGATAAGGGGGCTGCCAGTTCACCCTGGTTCCAAGCCCCCACCAGCTAGCTGCAACGGGCTGCTCTTCCTGCAAGCAGTGGACAAAGCAGGCGGCTGCCAAACGAGACGTTAGAAGGGAGCATTGCACAACTTTAAATGAGCATGTTCCCTAATTGATCAGCAACATAACAACGAAACAACGTTAAACAGGATGGCTTTAAGTGAGGAGTTACTGTACTGATGACAGATAAGCCACTGTGTCGTAGAGGGTGGAATTCCTTCCAGTGCAAGGCTGTCTAAATCACAAGAATGAGCTCCATACCTTCACCTACTATGCGAGCTTCTTACCTGAGTCTGTGAACTGTGCAGTCAGGTAGGCCTTCTGAAATCCATAGACATCTTGCCTCTTCCTGGTTGATAACTCTGAGTAGACTCCACCAACGGCGTTAATGCTACAAAATAAAACCATATGTCACTCAAATTCCTTCCACTCGGGTGTGGTAGCGTGTCTGAGTACAGGACTGGCTGCCTATTATCTGTTATCCTCAGTTAGCCACAGTGGCAGGAACTTGTCATGGGTAAGGGCATGTGAGAAGGTGTGAATGGAACACTTTGAAATGTCTTATCCCTGGTCCCACTTCCTGTGTACCACAGCTTCCTAGCTCACTCCCATGGGATGACACAAACCTATACACCCACCGACCCACCCACCCCTCTAGCCAATGTTTTTCTAAGGCTACAGACTGAGGTTTGGTTTCCAAGTCCGGTCCCTTTCTCTGTTGACTGAAAGTACTGCAGCAGCATATAGGGAAGAGAGCATCTCCTGTTATTCAACAGTGTCCAAGTGCCTGACTCAGCAGTGGGCTCCCATGGGAACCCGTGCCAAAGACTTGCAGCAGAGACTTGAAGGAGCGAGATGGGAAAGGGAGGGTCCTGTGCTCAGAATCTCTGTCCCTGTCCCCAAGCAATCGGTGTCTATGTTCTGCTGAGACTTCCCCGTTACAGGTAGGAAATACGATTTAGTTTTCTGCTGGAAACACATTTTATGAACTGGATTTGAATGCTGGCGATGTTAAAATTTATACTCAGTACCCCCCTCTAAGGAAATGCAGTACCCGTTGCACTTGTGGGCTGAATGAATGATTTTGGTTCTATGGGAAAAGGAGGTAAAGGATAGGCACTACTACGTCATCGGCAAATGACTGGAGAGTGACATTAATCGTCCAGGATGAACCCCCTGCCCAAATAGCAATGCAAACAAAACTCAAAACAGAACGCAGCCCTAGAGGCGAGTACTCACATGGCTTGGTAAAATGGGCATGGCATAGTCAGAGGCAGCAGTTCCAATGTTGTTGCATTTACACCAGCGAGCAGCAAGTTCAGTCTGTGGAGCCACGTGGTTGTGCCTTCCAGGGACAAGGCCGTGATTTGTGGGAAGACCATTTCTGCTGACATCATTAGCATGGTGTCTCGCACCTTGGAATTCCCTAGCAAACCGGAGCTCTGAGGAAGGAAAGAGAAATGAACGGCAGGCACTGAGCAGAGCTGCTGAAACATCTTGAATTTTAGGTGGAAAGAATGGCAGGAAAAAATTGGCAAAATGATCACAATTCCTCCTCCCTGACCTGCTATAAGAGGTGAAAACATGAGCCAGTTGGGGTGACCTTGGAGAGGTTTTGGGAAATTGGTGTGGGGTGAGGGTCTCAGGTTGTGCTTTCCTTGTAGGCAAAGTTGGGCAGCAAAGCAGATAGTCAGTGCCTGAATCTCTTCTTCATCACACCAGTGGTACACGTCGGTAACTTCCATGGACGTTCTCCTGATTTAGACTGGTGTAACTGAGAGGAGAATTGGGCTGCTCTCACACTAAGGTCTCTGGTTTCGGAGTCAGTGGTTTCAAGTCATAGATCCCATAAAACCTTGATAATTGAATGCACTCAGGTTGGTCTGCTTTCCTTTGTTGTTACTGTGAGGACAGCTACAACTCACCAGAGTTATGTGGTGTCCTAGCACAAGCAGCAGAAAGTCTGTGCATGTAAACACACGCACATGGACGCACATGGCATCTCACATAGCGGCTACTAACTGGCTTACCTCTCACCTCTGTGAGAGTTCAGTGCGAGGGCCGGACACTGAAGAGCGATGTCTCCGGGGATCTCAGGAGCTGGGGTTCACTGAATGTTACCCCCTAGGCAAGGTTTGGACTGGCAGAATCCTGCAGCGTTTGCTGGCCGGGCAGACAAGCTGGTGCGTCAGGGACCTCATGCGGAGCTTTCCAGCAGCAAAACTCGACTGGAACCCCAAAGCATCCCAGTAGATTTCGTGTAGTTCCTCTGAGGAAAGCCCTTTTAACTGGTCTTTGTGCAGGAGGACAGGTGGGAACTTTGCCTAAGCAAGGCCAGAATAAGGATCTCAGGGATTTGGGCTAGACTAAATTCCAGCTGGGATAAACAAACATGTCACAGCTCCTACTGCATCAGCCGGGACAAACTCCTTTCTGGCTCATCTGGTAGATCTACTGTTTCGGGGCCACGAAGGTCCCAGAGTGAGTGTCAGTTCTGCTAGCATGAAAGATACACAAGCAGCATGTGTATGAACCCAGGAGACTCTACTAATGTAGTTGATCTGTTTTTTTACCTTCAGCAGTAGGGTGTTGAGATCATCCAGGTAAGTGCTGAGGTGCTGGAGTGGCTCCTCCTTGCTTCTGATTGCCTGGAAGACCAACTGGATGGCCGCAGTGCTATAGATGGTGTTGCTTTGAGCAGACAGTTGGGCCAGTGTACTTGCTGAGAAAAGGTCTAGGGAGTCATGCTGCATCAGACAGAGAACACAGGTAAGTGAGAACCACGTCAGACTCCCAGATCTCAGCGCCCCTGAACTTTGACATGTTTGGAAACTGAACCCAGATCCAGTGAGCATTTTTAGCTGAGGGGCAAAGTGTATCATTTGGCTGTGAGCAATTGCCAGGACAATGGTTTTATCCTATTAAACGAATGATTTGGAGAGGACACGCCCAAGAGACGGTCTGTGCTTTAAAATCAGTGTCTTCTTTGCCTGCTTAGCAGGAACCATCTTTGGAAGCTTGAAACTGAAATCTTTCTTCTCCCCCTCCCCCGAGGTTTAATTTTGGCTCCAATGCTGAGTCAAACAATGCTGACCTAATCTGGTTGGACCCCGCCCCATTAAATGTAAGCTTGTTTTCCTACTGAGAACAAAATGCCCTAGTTTCAAATCTAGCCCTTACCCCATGGAGTCTGCTGTTTAACGTGATGAAGTCGGAGTACGAGCCATAAACAGTGAAGAGCCCAAAATACTGTAGCAGCCATTGCCTGTCTGTGGTGATTCCCTGAGCACAGGCCGAGCCTACGGGAAGGGAAGGAAAGCGTCAGGAAAACTATCATTCTTCTCTGTATTGAATAGCTGAGGCCTTTAGCACTGTGAGTCCTCACTGGTGACAAAACACAACCATGGACCATGCTGCAGGGCTTCCAGTTTGGCATTCAAACCTTAAGGGTTTAGAGAGAGATCAAATTCTGCTCTGATGTACATGCGTTGAGACCTCATTGAATTCAATGGGATTCCAAGAGGCAGGAATCAGGGAGCTGCAAATCTCCTATACGCGCTGCATGATCAGTTGCCATGAAGCATTTTTCACCTTAGTCCTGGTTTAAACCCTGTGCTTCTGCACTGCAACCTTCTGCACAGTCTAGGAAAGATTTTAGTTTTCAAAATAGACAGAGAGTGCCCCTCTCAAAGCAATGCCCCCAGAGGGCAGCCTGGTGGATGGTGAGGAGTAAAAGGAGACTGGTCACCTATGGATAGTTGTCCTTTGCTAGAGATCAGAACAAAGCTTGGAGTCTGCTTAAACAGTGGTAGATCATGCAGTGCCTGAATATTGCCATCTTTCCATTGTCCTAAGACGCAGCGATCCAAAGGACCTAGGTCTTTGTTACCTGAGTTTTGCAGCTGGAAGTGAAGAACTCTCTTTATAAATGAGAAGATGTCCTGTGGGTTCTCATATGTCCCATTCGCTTTATGGTCACTCAGGATCTTCACTCTGCAGAATATGGAGATTTCATTTGCTACTAGGACAACGTAAAGGTCAGTGTCCAGATTACTCTCAGCTAAACTACGTGACAGGGAAGAGTGCCCACACTCTCCCTGTAAGTACAAAGGCTTCTACCAGGTGAGCGGAAGGACTCTGCTCGACCTGCTAGTACAGAATAGTAAGGAACAGACCCAGAACGTGTCACAGGACAAATGCAGCTTTTTCCTTCCTCACAGGAGTTAACTGGGCCGTGCCCCGATTCATTCAGAGTCTCCCATTTCGATAGAAGGCCTCACTCTAATTCCCCCTCCTCACCGGCCCACTGGTGTATGGCAGAAGAGCAGCGCCTTAGCTTCGGAGCCCCTGTGAAGTTCAGTTCATGGCCTCTTACAGGTCACTGATATGTCAGCATAGCACGAGCCTATCGGTCAGCGCTCAGCACCTCCGTACAAGAGACTCAGGTCTGATGTCAGGTCTGACTTTGTGTTAGTGTCACAGAGTTTTGGGCCCCATCAGATCGCCTTGTCTGACCTCCGTACAGCACAGGGCCATTAAATTTCACTCTGATGCCCCTGTATTGAGCCCAGTGACTTTAGTGAGACTAAAGCATTTCAGTCTTCAAAAGACTAAGCTATTGTGTGCCACAGGTAAAGAACAGGAGAGACTGAAGGGCCACCAATGCTCAAGCCTCCTGCAATGGCAGCGAGTTGGTTAGTGGGTTATGCCTGTAGCGGGGACCAGATAGCAAGAGTGGAAAATCGGGATGGGGGTGGGGTTATAGGCACCTATATAAGACAAAGTCCCAAATATCTGGACTGTCCCTATAAAATTGGGACATCTGGTCACCCTATGCCCAAATGAGCCCAGTAGATGATCTATGCCCTACACCACAGAGGAAGGTGAAAAACCCCCAAGGTCTCTTCCAATCTGACCTGGGGGAAAGTTCCTTCCCAACCCCACCTATGACTATCAGTGTCGAAGAGGCTGTTCCCATAGCTTAGTGATTGGGTTCCCCAGCTAGAACGAAACAGAGGGCCTCTGTATGACTAAGACATTTTTTCTGGCCTCCATGATGGGTAGCACTGAGCTAGATATGGATGGGATACGCACATGGCTGCGAGGGAGTCGCACGACATGTCGTTAGGTAAAAAGCCAAGATTCTGTGCTTCGAGGCTGCTCAGGAAGAGAGTGAGTCTTTCCCCGAACCAGACGGCATAGTCCTCAGTGGTGAAGAGCTTAAACACAGTGCTTAAATGGCAAAAGATCTCGCCCAGGATGAATCTTCTCACATCGGCATGAGGCAGCTGAGAGAGATGCTGCTGCAATCAGAAGAGAGAGAGAGCAGCATTAGAATTTGCACTGTTACCGGCAACTGGAGAGTGGTAGCTTAATATCAAAGGATACCTGCTGCGCTGGCATTGAGGAGTCAAATTCAGGTCCCAGAAATGCATTCCTCAGCCATGAGATTGACCATGGGCCATGCTATTCAGACAAGAGTTCCTCACCTAATTTGCATGTGCGGTAATTCCGGCTGTGCATGCAAATTTGGTAACTGCCTGCTTAACCACGTAGACGATGACCTGGTCATCTGCATGTGGGGTTACTATGGTTGTGCATCCAGATCATGGTTCTTGAAGATGCAAATTGTGTGTACAAATGCACACTCAAAATGTGGCCTTGTCCACCTCATTCTGCAGGTCTCACCATTAGACATTTATGCCTTATTTCCAGTCTGAATTTGTCTAGCTTCAACTTCCAGCCATTGGATTGTGTTAGACCTTTCTCTGCTAGATTGAAGAGCCCATTGTTAAATATTTGTTCCCCCATGTAGATATTTATAAACTGTAATCAAGTCACCCCTTAACCTTCTCTTTGTTAAGCTAATAGATTGAGCTCCTTGAGTCTATCACTCTAATGTTTTAATAATTCCCGTGGCTCTTCTCGTCTAAACCCTCTCCAGTTTATCAACCTCCTTCTTGAATTGTGGGCACCAGAACTGGACCCAGGAATCCAGCAGCTCCTCCTCGAGATTCCTGTTTATGCATCCAAGGATTGAATTAGCTCTTTTGGCCACAGCGACACACTGGGCGCTCACGTTCAGCTGATTATCCACAACCTCCAAATCTTTTTCAGAGTCACTGCTTCCCAGGATAGAGTGCCCCATCCGGTAAATATGGCCCATGCTCTTTGTTCCTAGGTGTGTACATTTACATTGATTAACTTTTCTGACAACGCTGAAATCCATGTGGGAATACACTGTGGCAGAGCAGTAGTCATGCAAGGATGGAACTTGTATATATCCCATGGTGGGAGCCCAGACTAAACATGAAGGAATCTCCTTATGTTTAGCAGGTCAAGTCCACCATTGGTGCATGCCTGAGGCCTACATTGTGCTTTCCAACCTGTTGAATGGAAGGGGATATATTTACCTGCTGGGCAGCGGCATTGAATGCATCCAGAAACTCCCCAACGGTGTGGGAGTTCAGAGAGCCGAAGACCTTGCCCGCTTTGTCGCTGTCCCGCAGAACGTCACTTGCCAGCACGTAAGACGCTAGTTGCACTGGGCTGAGACCCGCTACTGCATCGACCTAGGAAACCAAACGCAAAAACCATTGGCTGGTTCTTTTGCAGCAAAACATGTGCCAGCAGCAAAAAGGAAAACCAAGCTGCTGGCAAGAGGACTCTGCCTGTGCCTCTGGCCCTAGGGATACTTACAGCACTGAAGTCTGCGTTGAGGCCAATCAGTTCTCCATAACTGGCCAAAGTGCTGAAGGAGCCCAAGTTTGTGTGTAGCCAGCCCAAGCTTCCCCGGGTATTCTCAGTGCACGGAGCCCCTTTAAATAAAACATAGGTTGAGGAAGTGCTGTGTGCCCAAGGGCCAGAGCCCCAGCTGGTCTCGGTCAACATCGCTCCATTGAGATTATTGTGGCTATGCCGAGCTACAGCAGTGTGCATACAGAGTAATATCTACAAAGCTAAGGGATGCTGACATTAAAGAGCTTGCTCTGAACAAAGAAACTGGGAGTCAGTTCCCACCAGCTGAATTAATTGCAAATAGTTCATTTGAGAAATGTTTTCTGTCAGTTGCTGAATCAGGTTGATTTGCCAGTACAGTACACGCCCGAGGATCTGAGCAGCAGGGGGGAGGTGGATTTTAGTCGGATAATTAGGAATTTGGATAATCGAGTGGGCAGGATCCATTCAGCAGTGGGGTGACTTCCCCCATGGTCCAGGACTCATTGTCCTGTTCCTCCTCGCAGTCCTGGCTAGGGGGGTCTCTGCTCTATTATCCAGATCTCTACATTATCTAGACCCCTTCCTTGTCCCCCAGCACAAACTACATGGGGGACAAGGAAGGAATGTGGATAATGCAGAGGTTCAGATAATTGGGTTTTGGATAAATGGAACTATACTAAATATGGTTCCTTTGTTGGATCAGTCCTGTAGAGCATCAAATAACATTCAGTAACACATTACTCATGGTTTAGTTTGTCTGTAGTCAATTTCTTCAAAGGGAGTTAGGCGCTAACCTACTTAGGCACTTTTGAAAATTCCACTCGACTCCTATCTGCATCTCTAGGTGCCTTTAAAAATCTCATCCTGGGAGACTAATTGCCCCATGTGTAGAATGGGGATAAAAACACTGCCCTGCCTCTCAGGAGTACTGTGAGGATAAATACACTAACAATTGCGAGGTACTGAAATACTATAGTAACAGGGGCCATGCAAGTCCCTAAGATAGATGGACCAGAACCTCAGCTGGTAAATGACCATCGCTCCATTGCAAACGGAAGTGCATTGGTTCACACCAGCTGAGGGCCTGCCCTGATATCGGTGGGAATAACCGCAAACGGGGTCTCTTCCAGCCCGGTTCTCTGGCATTCTGGGGACGCTGTAGCCTGATCACGTCCAAACAGCCAGGTCAGTTTACCTCCGTTGGTTTTTAAATAAGGCAATTCTCCAGGATATTCATGGCCCCCAGATTGACATTTTCCCTATGATTTATATAAATGTAGACGAGTAACAGAATGTAAAAGTTTGCAGGACACTTTAAACGTACCCCCTTGAGAGGCCTTGGCGGTAAGGTAGTCTTTTGCAAAGTTGTAAACATCTTGTTGGCTCGCTGGTGACATGTCTTGGAAGCTGCTGTCTAGGCCAGCCATTCTGTGGGAAAAGAAGGGGGGGCGGATATTTGGTATATTAGATAAAACCTCACTCCAGTTCTTTGCCAGGAGCCACTAAAGATACCATAGCTTTGTAAAATGGTCTGATAGGATGAGTCTGTAGTGATTCAATGTGCAGTTTGCTACCTGCATTCTACAGTCTGTGCAAAACCTCCTTCTTTTGGCAGGGGAATTGGGGAATTTGTTCCTCTAAAGTAGTGGTTTTCAAACTTTTTAGGCTGCGTACCCCTTTCCAAATAATGTAGTCTACCGAGTACCCCCATCTGAGATAGGGTCATAATAGACCTACGATTAGATTGCCAAGTCTTACTAAATAAAGTGCATAGTCAGCCATTACAGATTTTTCTCGCGTGCCCCTGACAAGAGCTCGTGCACCTCTAAGAGTAACACACCTCAGTTTGAAAACCACTGCTCTGGAGAGATGCTGCACACAACAGAATGTTCACTCGGATGAATCACAAAGCTCCTCCCACAGCCTCCAGTCGTGAAAGTGAAAGCATAAAAATATGGGCTGCTACAATGGGAAAGAAGAGAGAAATGGAACTAACTTCTCATTTGTCTCTGTCCCAGATCAAACCAGGAACTCGTAACTCTGTCTGCATTGCAATGCCATCAAATTCCCCTGCTCAGGCAGGAGCAAGCAGACAAGCAGAGGTTCTCTTCCTGGGGCAAACATTGAAGCAAAAGGCTCATCTGCGTTTTCCGCAGCTGAGATTCCAGAGGTCTCTCTAACAACTTTCAGTGCAGTGCATCCTGGGTAAAATGAATCTAGGCAGCAGAATGCTCACATGATTTGGTAAACTCCGCAAGGTATCTTCTTTGGGATGGTTGCCAGGGCAGAGGCATTTATGCTGGCAAGCCATAACCTGAGCTTGTTCTGGAACCAGTCCTTATACTGAAAGATGCTGAAAGTGGTGAACTGGCCTTGGACTTTGGAGAAGATGGCGCTGAACATTGCATCTCGCACTTGTGTGTTTGCCAGGGACATGATACCCTGCTGCAAAACAAAGACAACAAAACACAAGCAGGGTTGTTACAATGTACAATCAGACAGGAGGAGCTGCTGACCGACTCCTACTGTGACATACATGGATGTCCGGGGGTAATAAAACACATGCCAGCTAAAAGTGTTCATAGAAGTTTAGGAGGATCCAATATCAATTTAAATCCTCCCTGGGACTAATACAGTGTCTTCTTCAGCAATATGTAATTTCCGCTACTCAGCATGACAAAGGATGTTAAAGATGCAAATGCAGCATGACAAAACCTTACACGAAATGAAGTGTCCTGATGGAATATACAGCTAAACTTGAACCAGAGCGAGCTCTCCTGTTTAGCTCCTGCCTGCCAGGTTGGACAGTAACTTGAGTTTAGTAGCACTCCTTCTGCTGGCTCAGATAATGGTGCTGTATTGGCTCACTAGGAAGATTCACTCTCTGAGGACCAGTTTGACTCTGGGCAGAAGCCACAGCAAAGCTGGTCTGCTCTGGTGTCTGGCTACCACCTGGCAAACCCTCTTGCTTTTCCTTTGACCGGGAAGGGAACCAGGCTATTTGAGGGTACTCACAAAACCAGCAGCTCCTGGGGGGGTAGTCCCAGCAATCTCAGTAAAGAAGAGAAGGCTGATCTGTCACTGAGCCCTGCCCTGCAGTGTGCGCTTTGCTATCTGGAAATGATCAATCCATAAGGACCCACATTCACCTCTCCGTATCAGTACATTACCTGAGGAGCGATGGCCGCAAACTCAGTCACAAAGGCAACAACATCGCCAAGTGGCCTGCTCTGCAGGGACATCAGGAGGGTCTCAGCCATGCCAATATCGTCCAGGACATCAGCGCCAAAGAAGACATGAGCCAGTTGAGTTGAAGTGAGATTATCACTTACGTCGAACTGCAAAGACAAGGGGAAAGATTTACAGGCGAGGCAATGGCATTGCTAGTGAACCTCAGGCCAGTCAGTTGCTCCAGGGTGTTACTGAAGAAGATAATTTCGGGACAGATTTGCCCTCGCTCATGTTGAGTAATACTTTCCCCCACAAGCAGTCCTGTATTTTACAATGGGACCACTCGCCGAGTAAGCTACTGAACATGAGCGAGGGGGGCAGAATCCTGCCCTTAGCAAGCAGAATGAAATTCAGACTCACCCCATTGAAATTTGCCATAAGTTTGGTGAAATCTTCATAGCGAGCATTGGCTGCGAATGCCCCAAAGTTATTCCGTAGCCAATCCAGGCTTACCTCGTTGCCCAAAGCACAGGCAGAACCTGCAATGCCAAGAGTGTCAGAGTCTGTCTTTACTGGTCTTAGTTTGGAATTTACCAGCCATGCATGAGATGCCAATTAATTAAAATAGAATTCCCCCACCTCCCTTTTATTTTTCTTAATTTAGCTCAGGCTCTGATGGTTAAAGGATAACTATGATCGCCAAAAAGTGACTCAAAAATTACAGGACATTGAGACGGATTCTCCCATCACTTACACCATTTAAAACCACTGCACCTCCACTGATCTCAGTGGAGATATTCCTGATTTACACCATTGTGAGAGGAGAATCGGGCCCATTGTTATTCCTTTCCTCCATCCTGAAAGAAGCAGTGCTTCCACAGATGTTTTCTCGCAGCTAACACAACACTAGCTAACGCTCCCTTTTTTTTTGTCACATAGTATTAAAGAAGGTGGTTTGAGCATTGGCCTGCTAAACCCAGGGTTGAGAGTTCAATCCTTGAGGGGGCCACTTGGGGATCTGGGGCAAAATCAGTACTTTGTCCTGTTAGTGAAGGCAGGGAGCTGGACTTGATGACCTTTCAAGGTCCCTTCCAGTTCTAGGAGATGGGATATCTCCATTAATTTCAAGGTGCTACTGTTCTTGTAGAGGAATCTCTAATCCAGGGATAGGCAACCTATGGCACGCGTGCCAAAGGCGGCATGCGAGCTGATTTTCTGTGGCACTCACACTGCCCGGGTGCTGGCCACCAGTCCAGGGGGCTCTGCATTTTAATTTAATTTTAAATGAAGCTTCTTAAACATTTTAAAACCCTTATTTACTTTACATACAACAATAGTTCAGTTATATATTATAGACTTATAGAAAGAGACCTTCTAAAAACGTTCAAATGTATGACTGGCACGCGAAACCTTAAATCAGAGTGAATAAATGAAGACTTGGCACACCACTTCTGAAAGGCTGCCAACCCCTGCTCTAATCCATGCTAAAATTCCGTCACGAAAGAGTTAATGAACCACTTCTTGTTTGGCAATATCATTAAGCTAGTGAATTAGCAAACAATTAGTTTTCTGTCCAGATTACCTGTTGTGTTGTGCTGATTTTCAAGAAAGGTAAATATAGCACTGTAGACACCCTGTTGATTCACTGATGACATAGAAGGATACACCTGACTTAGTGAGGATACCCTGAGGAATGGAATCACATGAGGAAACATTGCATTTTCATCTTTGAATATGCACCAATATTATCATTGATATGGATCATAACTTAGGTGGAGAATAACTTCCGGAAAAATAGACAGAGGTACAAAGGGAGGGAGGGTAGCCACCCCGTGCTTTGAAAATAAAATGATACTTTGTGGGTCTATACAGCCTCCTCCATCTGAGGAGCTCAAAGCACTTTGCGAACATTAGTTAAGCCTCACAATAGCCAATGAAGTAAGTAAATATCCTCACTTTAAAGATGGAGAAACTTCAGCACAGAGAGGTGGAATGCTCAAAAGGAGTCAAACGCCGAACTTCTCTTTGGGCTCCTAAACGTCCACTGAAATCAATGGCAGTTAGGCGCTTGACTGCTTTCCAGCACCCCATCCTAACCTGAGAATACACCAAGTTGGGAACAGAACCCAGATTGCTTGGCTTCTCATCTTGTGCTTTGTCCTTTGCTAAGACTAATTTCACAGGGGCTGCGGTTGTGTCTCAGAAACATACTTTTCTTCTGACTATGAGACCTAAACTGATTTCTATATAGTGCAGCATTAGAGAATTTAGTGACAGGAAATATATATATATATTTAGGAGAGACAAGCCCAAACAAAACTCCCAGCTCTAAACCTCACCCAAACTGGGGAGTTCAGACCTAGACCTGAAATTTGTGTCTTGTGCCTGCCCACCACTAATGTTTCTCTTCCTGCCACCCTTTTGGGTCAACGCAGGATTATTCCCTGCAACGTATCCCGGGGGGTAGCTCAGTGGTTTGGCCTGCTAAACCCAGCATTGTGAGTTCAATCCTTGAGGGGGCCACTTAGGGATCTGGGGCAAAATCAGTACTTGGTCCTGCTAGTGAAGGCAGGGGGCTGGACTCGATGACCTTTCAAGGTCCCTTCCAGTTCTAGGAGATAGGATATCTCCATTAATTTAATTTATATTTATATTGCTTTGGACACTCTAATCTTAACTCTCTCTATAATGACCTTTTACTGTTGCCCTCTGGAGTTTATTCCACAGCCCAGTTCATTTTATTGAGAAGAAATTTTCCCCTGATAACCTTCTTTCCTTTCCTTTTTATTACTCCTAGTTGCACCATTGTATAAAAAGGTGAAATCAGTTAAGCTTAATACCATTTTATAAATTAATCTGTTTTGTATTGTCAGATTATGTTTTCAGTTGTTCACTTATAATCTTATTTAAAGTTTGACCTGTAAGAATCAAGGATCGGTCTGTGGATGTTTGTGTGATAAAGTACTTTATAAATAAAACGATATTGTTCAAATTGTGTTCAGGGGAAATACAGCCCGGCAGCTTCCTTTTGTGTGTCCATTTAAACTGCTTCTGACTTTCTACAGAGCAAAGAATACACGTCTGTCTGTATACTCACATAGCTCTGAAACTATCACAGCCAGGAATGTGAGTCAGGAATAGCTTAATCTCCATCTCGCCAGCACTTGGCAGCAGTAGCTCTAGTCTTGTGAATAAATGAGTCCAGTCTTCAGGGCTGAAAGCTGAATAGCCTGACTTGATCTCATTCACAAACTGGGCGAGCATATTTTTCCTCACTGCTTCATTTTTAATGGTGGGTATCATCAGCTGAAAAGAAAAATGAGAGAATGGAGAATTAAAAGTTGGTGATCAAGATCCTCATCCTAATTGCAAAGCTTCACACAGCTACGTTCTGTGAAAGGAACCTGAATGTGTCCCAATGAGCCAAAAATGCACTGTAGACATGTCCTGCGAAATATGTTGTATTGCTGGGGCCATTGACAAAGGAAAGACAGCAGAGCCCCAGACTGCATTGTTCCTGGATGCATTGCTTTCCATTAATAATGCCTAATCTGCCTCTAGTAGTTAGAATTTAAAGTTAATAATCCATATACGACAATGTTAAATACCTAGGCAGACAGACCGATGCTGTTAGCTCACCAGGGGGTTACCATTTTAAAGTATTTGCAGCTCTCATTGACTTCAGTGGGAGTTTATGGGTGCTCAGATACCTGTGTTTATTTAAGTGAATATAGATTTAGGTACCTAACTTCAAACACCAACATTTTAATATTTTTGCCCATGTTTCTACGCTGAAACGTCATAAATTCTGCCTTTTTTGTTAATATGTTGAGCTAGTCTCTCAGCCAGCCCAGGGGTAGGTGGCCTTAGAACAACCTCGATGGAGCCTTGGGATACTCAGAAGTGGTTTTCTTTTTGACCATGTTAATTTCAGTGGTGTCACTAGGATGAATGTTCAAATTCATACCCGTCGGGCCTCTTTGTTGAATTGGTCTAAATACTGGTAGATCTCTTCAGCTGGTTTGTTCTGTAATCTTGCGAGGACCTGGCACATCACCTCCTCTTCATTAATGGCATCTGATTCAAGAGTAAAGGATGCAAGTTGTGGTGAGGCCAGCTTGTCCAACACTGCCATCTAGGGAAAAGAACACAAATCAGGTGGTTGCTTTTCCAAGCTTGCTGTAATAATCTGCGGGTGGGCCGTTAATCAAAAAGGCCCAAGGGTTTTAGACACTCAATCCCATTAAACTAAATGGC